GCCGTTATGTGATGACTTTCAAAGAGAAAAGCAAGCACACTCGGAATAAAGTATTATTTTATTTTTTAAAAACGTTTTCAGATTTCACATAAACACCAAATCCCAGCATGCATTGCGGCTAAACCATCCAATCATCGAGCTGAGGATCTTGCCTACGTCTGTTTCCGGTTTAGTTTATGACGGATGTATTTTGTTATACACACACATTCCTTCACATTTACATTTTAATTTGCATTAAAGTATTTCGTGAGGCCTTCTAACATGTTTTTAAATATAACTACGGTTATAGTTGAAGAGTTTGTAAATTAACATGAACGGAAGCTATTGCCTGGCAATGCAATCGCACAACGTCACGTCCGTTATTTCCACATCCACACGCATGGATTAACATCGATTGAATACATTAATGTAGCCTTTGTTTCTGCTAAAAGAGGTGTCGACCAGCTGGGGCAACAAGAAAATCGGCGTAATCGAGTGTGACTATTAAAAAATAAATCATTATTATATTCATATTGACAATAACAACCGACCGTCGGGGTAGCATTTGCTTGGCATTTCCGGTTATTTCTCCACTGGTTAACATGGGTTAACAATACCGTGTAACTGTCACGTTTGAAGGGACGAAATCGTGACATCTTCACGTCTCCCAGCATGGTAAATCATCACATGTTCACGTCTTGCCGTGATACCGGGTTGATCCTGGGCCACTTGAGGCCGGGATGGCGCACAGACCAGCCAGTCGTCTAGATACGGCAGGACCTTCACGCCCTGCGCCTGCAGGGGTGCGAAAGCTGCCGCCACGACCCTGGTGAACACCCTTGGAGAGAGGGAGAGACCAATGGGAAGCAAAATAACAATCAAGACAGCACGGGTAATCCCGGTTTATTCCGGCGTTAGCCAAGTGGCTGAGCACCAGGACACGGTTAGGCTGAGCCACGCTACTGCTAACGAATCAAACAAGGAAACACAGCTAAAGCTGGAAACTCAAAATGCTTATGATAGCTTGGTGTTACGCCCCTGATAAAAGGGAAGAATTTTGACAAGAGTCAAAGTTAGGTTTCATTCTCCGGTACTTTACTCGAGTCAGTCAACAAATGCAACACCTTTCAATAGCACATACAACTTGGCTATTAACACTGTATTTCAATCATGAAACTTCTTAATTACCACAATATCATTGATAAGATTATATAATTGACAACATATTACATATAACTGTGTCCATACACAATACACAAGATGGCGGCAAATGCGCGCTACGCAGTGTTGGTTCATGTAACCATGTAGACGTTACACATTCTCGGCTATCACACACATTAGCCCAAGCTGATCAAACGTAATAATAACACACTCAATATTTCACACAACTACTTTAAAACACTCCTTACACATGTTATGTTATAGTTTGGCCCAATTTGTTATGGTTTTGTACTTTCTACATACCTGATAAAAGGGAAGAATTTTGACAAGAGTCAAAGTTAGGTTTCCTTCTCCGGTACTTTACTCGAGTGAGGAAAGTACCGCGAAACCCCCCAGATATGTGGGCGGAGACAAGAGCAATCGATCTCCGTCTCCCAGATCAAGGCCATCTAGTCGATCACAGTTTAACAGATCACACGTCTCCAAAACAAACACAAACAAGCGCAGAGAGAATACCTTCTCATCCTTTCCAAACATCCTACAATTAAATTACATTAACAAAGGTCAAAGGTAACAGTTAAAATACTGTCAATGTTACAAAAACAATCTATTACATTGGCACAATGCAGGGGCGGATCTAGACAAATATTCATGGGGTGGCAAGAGAGTGGCAGGAGAATTTGAGGGGTGGCATCCCCTGGCAGAAGTATATGCTGATTTAATCGCAGTCATAACAATCAATGTTAACTTGGAAAGCCACAATATTAATATTTTAACTCAATAACATTAGGTGACATTATTGTGGCACATCAGTAAAGCCATAACTATATAAGGTGGCAGACGTAATTTAATGAATTTTAACTGAATGAGTTGGTTTCACTCTTAGACCAGCAGGGGTACAAAATCTATGCAGACAGCTGCAATAAGTACATTAATTAACTGTCTCATCAATGTGTGTCTGTATGCATATGATACTATTAACAATCATATTATTCCTATCAGCTGTCAATCACTGTTATGATTCACATATTCAGTGTTATTATTAAATAAACTATATTTTTTGGAGGAGTTAATGATGAATGTTCCTCAAGATGCTTGCTCACCCTCCTTCAAATTTGAAAGACAAGTAATTACTATCATAAATCAAAATAATCAAAAGAACAGTTCAGCGCCCCACAACTTTACTGCAAACAGTTACAACCTTGACTTTACATCAGAAAGAACAAACATTAAAGAAGTGACTAACTGCATCAGTTAGGGTTAAAACACGTGTATTCAGCTAAAACATATACATTACATCGCTGCAGTTATGATCCAGTGGAAAGCCCTTACCTACTGGCCTAGTTAAATCAAAGTGGTCACTATTTTTTGGCTTGGCAGTGAAGTTTTACACACCGTCTTCTTTGACTTTCTCAGGACTTGAAACAGTTTTTGGGGGGGGCAGCTGCCACCCCGTGCCACCCCGTAAAACCGCCACTGGCACAATGCCACGGTCAGCAGAAGTACAAAATAGCACAGCAAGGGCAACTCCTGGGAGAGGGAGCGGAAACGCTGCCATCACCGACCAAGCCGACACCAACCTGTCCGTCAAAGTTTTCCGCGTAGCCAGCCACAGCTCCTGGGGGACGGGTAGCCCGTAGCCCCGACTGGAATAGTCACGAAACTGCACGCAGCCGGCTGTATGCGGGGAAATCCTTAGATCTAACGTTCCAACGAACGCTTGTAGGTTACACAAATGCAACCACAGTACTCTCGCGAAGCGAGAAGATGAAAAGGAACCGACCTGCTAATGACGCCGGCCTGTGTAGCCGTCGTCACGTGGGTCACAGGTGACTTTGTTGTTATTAGGTACTCGGACTGCGCATGCGTGCGATGGATATATCCAGTGCTAAAGCACCGCCTCTGGCGGTCAGTAGGGACGAAATAGAACTTTATTTAGCTTCCGTATTGTTTATGGTGGGCAACGAAAAAAATGTTGATTCTTAATTGGGCCCTGAGTTGAAAAAGGTTGGTAACCGCTGAATTAGACTATATGATATATTTGCACAAGATATACTTAGATGCTACTTTTACCAGAGTAGGTATTATCTAAAAAGGAGCTCGAGATAGGCTGTTTACAATTCCAAATCCAGGTTATACAGTAAGGTGTCTCTGAAGGAAATTATGAGGCTTTATAATTTGACCTTTGGTACACTCAGTGTTGGCAGCGGAGTTACAGTACCATATAATGTGCTGGCCTGGCCAAGAAAAGCAGTGATATTGACGTTCAATTATTAATTGACAAATGCAATTCTATTTTTATCGGTACGGTGGCCATAACGTGAAAAAATATTAGCCAAAACACTTCCATTAGGAGAAATGCAAGGGAGTTTCAACAACGATGGAAATAAAAAGCAAAAAATTAAATAAAAGCACAAACGTGCCAAAACACATGAAGAAACATCCTCACCAACGCATGTTTTCATGACGTTGATGTTTCTTCATTTGCATGTGTTTTGGCACATTTGTGTTTTAATAATTGTCATTATTGAAACATTTAAAAACAACTCTTGATTGGGTTACTGCAAGTTAAAAGAGAAACTATAACCCGAGGATTAACATTTTATACTCTATACTATAGAGTATAAAATGTTAATCCTCGGGTTATAGTTTCTATACTTGAAACTATAAGAGTTAAAAGAGAAACTATAACCCGAGGATTAACATTTTATACTCTATACTATAGAGTATAAAATGTTAATCCTCGGGTTATAGTTTCTATACTAGAAACTATAAGAGTTCAAAGAGAAACTATAACCCGAGGATTAACATTTTATACTCTATAGTATAGAGTATAAAATGTTAATCCTCGGGTTATAGTTTCTCTTTTAACTTGCAGTAACCCAATCAAGAGTTGTTTTTAAATGTTTCAATAATGACAATTATTAAAACACAAATGTGCCAAAACACATGCAAATGAAGAAACATCAACGTCATGAAAACATGCGTTGGTGAGGATGTTTCTTCATGTGTTTTGGCACATTTGTGTTTTAATAATTGTCATTATTGAAACTACAGCGCTGTCGGCCACTATTGAGCAACGGTTTTATAATGTCATTTAAATGAACTATGACCCAACTATAATTGAACACCATACAATTCTGTAATCAGTTAAACATTCACATAGTTATCTTCAATGTCCTGCCGTCACAATTGTGTACACATTATAAATTAAAAAAAACATACTATTAAATGATGCAGAAAGATTAGAATACACAATAATAAAATAACCATAACCCTAACCTACACCTGAATATACATGAACAAGTGTTCAAAGTAGTAGCAGTTTTTGAATTAAAATGTAAATGCAGTGAGTTAGAAAGTGAGTACAGGTTTCAGGGTTATTGCAAGTTAAAAGAGAAACTATAACCCGAGGATTAACATTTTATACTCTATACTTATACTCTAATACATTTTGGAGGTCCATTTTGTACTTTTTTTACAGATTTATTTACTAGCTACTTTTTAAATTCAAATGTTGACCTGAAATACTATTAAAATACGATTATTTAGAGACTTAATCATCCAACATTATTATTAAGTAACTACAACCATTAGTAAGTTAACAGAAAACTAAGTTGCAGCAATTCTGCTAAGAGGTTATTCGTCCATAAATATTTCACATTTCTAGCTTCTTAAATGTGAGCATTTGCTTTTGCATTAAAATATTTTTCAATATTTAGCTATAACTACAAGAAGCTCATGCGAGGAGAAGTTATGCAATAAAACAAAAGCTAAGAAATGCCCGCATTAAGACCCTCCTCCTCCTCCTGAGAGGAACCACATTACAATCACAGAGAGGTTATTAAGCGTCGGCAGCATGCACGGTCACAGTAGCCTGCTCTCCAGCGCGCACTCATCCACCTGTTGTTGTTGTTGTTGTTCCATTGACTCCGGACCACCGAACCTACTGACAGGACGCAAACATGGGACAAGACGCGAGACCCAACTGGGATAACCCCTTACAGTTTATTTTGGCATGTGTATCCTATGCAGTCGGACTTGGGAACGTGTGGAGGTTTCCATACCTCTGTCAAATGCACGGTGGAGGTAAGTCATTCATTCCCGACTGTGGACCGCTTTACCTAGATAATAAGTTATTATACCACTAGGTTATCACTAGTTCATTTTTAACCAGGACTCTGCCTTCTACCCTTCAAACTTTTAAGTCCCGCCTGAAGACCCACCTCTTTTCCTTCGCTTTCGAGTCAGTTTGAGATGTTTCATCTATTTTTATGCTTTTATTGTCTGTCCATAGCCTTTATGTGCCTTTTATCTATTCTTATGTGTGCCTTTTATCTATTATTATATTTTATTATAATGTTATGTTTGCTGTGAAGCACTTCGGTAAACCCTCTGTTTGTAATATGTGCTATATAAATAAAGTGGATTGGATTCTAATAGTGATCTAAGAGGCTTGAGCAGTGACCTATAGACATAGTGACATTTTCAGCAAGGTTTATTCCCATGTGAGACTGGGTCTGAATAACATAATATAGTTTAACAGGGTTGTGCCAGTGTACATGCTGTATGCTTTACCCTCTTACATTTTGTGTAAAATCCGCAGAGGTGGGAGAAGTTCCAGAGTGTAATACTGTTCTACGTAAAAGTATTGAAGTATTAGCATCAACATACTGTAATCAACTACTGCAATATTCCTTCACTGTATGTCCAAAAGTAAAAGTAGTCATTGTGCAGATTGGTCCATTTCAGAATAATATATATGATATGTTTTCTAATGATTGATCATGAAAGTGTTCTCAAAGCTGGTAAAGGTGCAGCTAGTTTGAATGACTTTGTGTACTGCAGGGTAGCTTGTGGGTTTACTCCAGGTGGAACTAAAGTCTGATTTAACACTTGATTATATTTCACATCATTCATCCACATCTGTAAAGTAACTAAAGGTATTAAATAAATGTGGTGGAGTAAAAGTACACAATGTACCTATACATTAAAAAGTAACATTACAAGATAAATACTCAGGTAAAGTACAAGTATCTCCAAATTGTATAAATCTACTCAGTTACTTTACCCCACTGAAGAAGTGGAAGAAATGTCTCAGATCATTGACCTTGTTACTAATAAAACCTATTGTGTTACTTAAATAAAAGTACTTAAGTTTAGCGTAAACTGAACGTACTGAAAGGTGAAGCACACTATCACATTAATATTCATTAGTTTATTTAAATGCAGTATTGATAACATGAAGCTGCTAAGTAACTAAAGCTGTATTTGCTTATTTGCTTACTTATTGTAAGTCGCTTTGGATAAAAGCGTCAGCTAAATGCAATGTAATGTAATGTAATGTAATGCTTAAAAATTGTAGTCAAGTAAAAAAACTAATCAAATCAAAATACTGAAGTACAACTACTTCAAACAGTACTTGAGTAAACGTACTTAAAGGAAACATATTAAGCAATGGTTTATTGCCTGCGGTCTGAGTCATGCAAGCTGTTTCTGAAACATCAAAAGGAATGGGCGGAAAGCCTTATTGTTATACAGTGAGTTTACCTGAAGTTGAAGCTAGCCATAAACCTATTGCAGGTCATAAACTAGGGTCGAACCGGAATTAGTAAACATTGATACATTATGCCGCTTATCTACAGACTTTACACTCTAACTGCTGCCAGAGCACCACAGGGAAGTGATAAAAGACTAAAACAGTCAAATATAATTCACGACAACGCAAACATTAGTACAGATCAGAATGAGCTAAAAGATACTCAGTGGTGGAATGTAATTACATACATTTACTCAAGTTTTAGGAACCTTTTGAGGTTGTTTTTTTTGTTAGGCTACTTTATACTATATTTTCACTATATCTACTTCCTATATTTTGGAAGCCAGTTTGTACTTTTTACTACATTACTTTTATCTAACAGCTTAATTATTTACAGATTCAGATTATAAACCAATTAAAAATATAAATCAACCTTAATATAGAACTCGATTCAAATCAGCGGCACATTTAACAGCTGTTATGAACACATTCATGCATCAATAAACTGAATCCAGTCATTTCATTAAACTAAAGATGTACTTTTATTTATGGTAATGAAAATACTTCTCTATTTTAATTTGAGTAAGATTTAAATGCAGGACTTTTACTTCTAAGTATTTATTTGTTTCAATTTAGTATTTCTACTTCTACTATTAAAATATAAAAGAGTACTTCTTCCAACACTGAATGTACTCCCTTCAATGAATTGGTTATATTTCACACAGGCTCCGCCCTCTACTGGACTCTATGGGTACTACTCTCTATCATGCTGTGCGTGCTTTCACCTACTGAGTTTTCGTAAACGTAGCCGGCCAATCGGGGCGAGCCTACCTGAATGCGCGCGCAGGCCCACAGTATATAAAGGCGGCTACACCCGCCGCCCACTATCCTTTTTCTCTTCAGACGAGCTGACAACCGAAGAGTTAAACGAACGAAGATTAGAAGGAAAAATGGACTCACCATTACTGGAAGCTCGGCCATGCACCTGCCCTGGTTAGATCGCGGGTGCCGGTCTCCACCACCTCTGCTTAGAGTGTTTGGGGGACCAGGATATGGCCGAGGCGGTGCCATTCACGTCGCTATTCCAGCGGGGCGGATGGCTCCGTTTGCCGTTGTCGGGCACTTCCGGGTCCGGTCCATGGAGGTCCACCGCCCTAGGTGATGACCATGGCGGCGGAGCGCAGCTGCTCCCAGCGGGCAGCAGGCTGGGCAGGGAGCTGAAAACAGCTCTGCCACGCTACCGCGTGACTGGCGACTGCAAATAAACACGGGTGTGTTGGGCATCTCACTCATTGCTGGAGATGCCCCCACCTCACCAGATCAGAGCGATTATTTGTAGCTTGGTCGTGGCCGCCGCCGTTGTCTGCCGTGTGATATCCCGGTGAGGGATCACGCCGCATGGCACTTTCCAAAAGGACCGTGTTGTTGATCTCCCGGGCCGGGAGCCCCCGTGTTTACGGAAGGGCTCTTTGGATCGATCTCCTTGGTTACGTGGGTGAGGAGTAGTCGCAGCGTGGCTGCTTCTGGCTCATCCCCAGAGGAAATAACACTGTCCCACACTCCCCGCCCCCTCCGTAAACTCCAGTATAGGAGCCAGCAGGTGGGCGCGTGCACGTGAGTGGAATAAACCGAAGTGCTGTCAAAACACTGTGCGGGTTCAAGAGAGAGTGATGTGTGTGTGAGAAACGCATTCAGTGAAAACGATTTTTATCCCAGAGTAAGAGTCATCTCTCTCCACATTTCCACTTTTCACCATAATGTCCGTTTCAAAGAGACGGCATTAGGACAGAGCCGCGGCCCCACGGGAGCGTGCCGCGGTGCGTTCAAGGACCTCAGTAGAAAATCGGCCCTTTTCTGTGTCAGCCCCCATGCCAAAACTCCCTTCTTATGGAAAGGTTTGGCAGCGGAGTAGGCCACCAGAGAATACAGCTGCTGGCATGTCCCCTGAACACAGTTTTGTGGGGAATGGAAGCCCCACGAAAGCTGTGTATTGACAGAGTAGAGGGGCAGGTATGGAAGCAAACAAGAGACAGAAGTATTCGAATTGTATTAGACACCGAATTTATAGCATTGAAAATAATTACTTTGAAAATCATGTATATGAATGTTTTTGCTCCGAATTTATATGGAAGCAAACAAGAGACAGAAGTATTTGAATTTTATTAGACACCGAATTTATAGCATTGAAAATAATTACTTTGAAAATCATGAATCTGAATTTGTTTTGCTCCGAATTTATCTATGTGAAATAAAAATGTAAAAATTCAAGTTAAAACAATTTGAATGTTCAAATTCAGATCCCAAAAATTCAAGTGAAAAAAATTCGACGTCAAATATTTCGGTGTTTAAAATTCGATGTAAAAAAATTCGGTGTGTAAAATTCGACGTCAAAAATTGCGATGCAGCCTCATCCGGGCTACTCAGACAGGATAAGCAATCGAGCCCTAATGCAATCAAACCGACTTCTGGCCTATCAGAGCCAAGCGGCAAACCCCGGGACAGTGCGGTGAAGCCCAATGCTGCAAACTGTAGGCGATGGATGCAGATGGGAGCAATTCCCGTAGACCCTTTGTTAAAATGTCCAACTTAAAAAATGAACATGTTTCTAGCCTGGATCTACAAAAACATATTCTGTATATAGTTAGATTCCCCCTTCATGACAACGGGACTGCTGCTCCTAGCTCCTCTCTGCTAGCTCCGTTAGCTCCGTGATGCTACAGCGGCTCAGCGCATGAGGAGAACACTACTTGAACTCGGCCGTGTTTGTTGTGTTGGTTCCTGGTGGACTATTCGTCATGCAAATATAGGATTTATCTGCGGTTGAAACAGACCGTCCATGAATGCAGTTTCTTCGGTAAGTCAACCCTGCGTACTTTATGTTATGTTACTGGTGTTTTTATTAAGCTAACGTTAATGAATGTTTAGAGTTGGGTTAGCATTTGAGCAATCGTAGCTCCATCTGTGCTAACGATGCTATGCGTAGCATCCAAGAGTGTAAAACATTAAGTGGGATGCTACTGTATACCAGAAGGCTTCTGTGCGAGGTTGCTAAAATAAGGTCATCTTTGTACGTTAGATAGTTAGTTTGCTATTTAGGTTACTGTATGCATTGTTAAGGTTCATTTAAATTCGCTATGCTCTACTATAGCATAAAATAGACTAGCTAACGTCAACGTATTGTTGAAGAGAGGCTTAGTGTATATTAAATCAACCTCACAATGAAATGTGTGTATCTTTAAAATATGAACGTCACATTTCAAGATAATAACGCTCCCTTAGATATTGTAATATGGTTTGTTGAGCTGGAGTTATTTATTGCAGCTAACCGCCTATCCGACGAACGACCCAAACATTGTTGTTTTTAATATTATTACCAATGCCTCTTTTAATTGTATTATCATCACACTTGAGAAACAGCCTTATCGTGGCTGTACAACGGAACATGTAACTTCATGCCTGCATTTAAGGACGATGAATAGCGTAGTCAATGCTTTAGTGACAAGGAAATGATTTGTTTAAATATGATCTATGACGTTATCTGTGACTTCAG